GAATCAATGAAGAAAAAAGCGAATCAGAGGAAAAAATCGATGAAAAAATTCTTCGAGAAATGCGAGCGAGTGAAATAAAAACGGCGGATAATCCCACCGAAACAACGATGAAGAAAAAAGACAACAACAAGAACGTGAAAAGTCAACAAGAGAAAAAGTGCCATGTGCCCCTTTTTTTCGTCCCCGTGTGTCGTTTCATCCATCACACCAAAACGAGTTTTGAAGACCTGACCGAGTCAGTGTGTGTATATGTGACGAATCAATTTGACAGAAAACGTGTCGATTATGTACATTCTCTAGTGCAGATTAAGTGGCCGTAATGAACGAGCAGAGTGCATCATTTAGCGTCTCAAAGTGTTGAAGCTGTTGCTGTGATGAACAAGCAGCACAAAGCACTCTCCTGCGCTCGTTTGTCAGACGCGCATGGTACACGCATTAATGCAATCGAACCATGGAATCTGTAATACATTTTCACATGGATGATAAAAAGATGTAGAAAAAAGAGGAGCGAGAGAGAAAAAAATGTTGTGTATTTGTTGCGTGTATGCGCGCTTGTGAACGCATCAAAGTTCTATTTTCATGCTTTCTCTTTGGGTCATTAATGCTTGCTTTTTGAATTTTGTAATCATGTTTTTAACCTCCTTGCCGACGGCGGCTAACATTCAATTACACTTCAGTTTTTTGATGGCAAAGCAAACGAGCGGACGAGCAAAGGGAAAAAAATGATTACGATAAAGAAACCGAGGCAATCAGTTTTGATAAAGAAATTATTTATCACTTGCGATGCACTTAGCTGAATTGCGCATTGCATTTTTGCTCGCTCACCCGCTCATCATCCATCGGTAAGCATTGTTTGACGTGAGCGAAACCGAAAAAAAAACCTTCAAGAAATTTCCCTAATTTATTTAGAATGCTCATCAAACGTGATGCATTTTGTGTTGTTGCATGTTCGTCTGAAGTGGTCTTTCTTCTGAACGAGTGAGCGTGAGCACACACAATGACTATGGCTATAACTTTCGGTTGTGAAATGAAAATGTTTGGCATGAGGCAGGCAAGCTGGCACGTGATGTTATAATGTTTGTTTCATTTTCAACGAAAAAAAAAAAATTTTAATCTTCGATTAGTGAAAATCAGTCAGAGCAAAATGAAATGGTCGAACTAGCGAAAGAAAGAAAAAAAAATCAACAACAACAAACACCAGCAAACAGCACAAGAGAATCTAATGAATGCTTTACAATCATAAAATATCAGACAGCCGAGCACATTTTTGCCTGGTTTTTTTTTCTGTGTATGTTATTCCGCTGCGGTTCGCAATTACGTGTTGTATGTTGTGCTTTGCTTTGCTTTGCTTCTCTTTTTTTTATCTATACTATATATAAAAATATTGTTTGATTGCTGTAATGCTATTGTGGATGATTGCCGAAGAAACCTACATAAATGGGTCATGTCGGTCCGCGAATTAAGTGTGGAAATGAACGAGAAATAATAAGTAATATACAAGTGTAATTACAAATACATATTTTTTTCTTCTCCTGTCTTTCATTCTTTCGATATATTTTTTTCTTTTTCTTCTTCGTTTGTTTGTGTGTGTGTGTGTGTGTGAGGCCGAGTTTGCAGTATTTGCTCAAATCGTTTAACAAACGAAAATATAGCAACAACAGCAAAATATGATAAAAGAGTACTTTGAACATGCTGTGCTCACAAAGGAAAGCCACAGATAAACCATGCCGAGCCGATGAATATTGTAGTAGTCGAATAATGAACACAAAAAAAAAGATTATGCATAGGCGAAAGAGAAAAATACACATACACACACACAACAGCAACGAGAACGGCCCTACATAAAAATTCCGCTTCTCGCAAATTGCGCCGTTTCGATTTATGATGATGATTATTTTTTCCCTCGTTCATTCTTCTGCATCGCCAATCAACTGTGTGATTTTTCAGTATTGAAATGAAGGCAAACGAAGAAAAAACAAAATGTGACGCGATCGTCATTTTGGTTATGGGTGGTTTTTTTCTTGTTGTTGTTATTATTTATTCCGATTCTGGAATGACTTGTCATTTTGATCGTACAACCCCTTGAGTGACATGACTCGGAAGCGCTATCGATAATTTTTCAAATACGAACGATAGAATGAATGAACGGGGAAAAAAATAAGTTTTGTGTGTTGGTTATCGACATTTGGTCTCGGAATGTTCGGAGGTCATTAAGGTTGCAAGATAAACTAGTGCATACGAGCGGAAAAACGTTTGCTCTCTTGTTCTCGTCTCTCTTGGGTTGATATGCTAATGAAATCTCTGCGTGACTGTGACTCTGTGTGTATGAATGTGATACGTTTGGTTCCGTTTGTCAAATGAACCAAAACGAAAGAAAACGAAGAGAACATGAGCAGGCGTTATCAATCAAATCGATCGTTTCCTTTATGCTCTGTCGTAGGGAAAAAAATCATTGCCCGAAAATATGTATCATCATCATTATTCATGCCGCTCCTTCGGCATCGTCATTTGAACAAAGGCTCTGATTTCATTATTTTGTTCTTTCTTTTTTGTTGAAATTTTTCATTTTTAAATAGCTTCAAAGCAAGAGCATCGATAAGAGCAGCTTCGCCCGTTCTCTTCGTCTTCATCAGACTTTCTTTCTCTTGAAAAAGATGAAATGAGCCACGTATGGTTCTCACTCTATTCCCTTCTGTCAATGACATATATAAATACATTTTTGGTTGAGACATGAGATCTCAATTCATGAGCTAGTAGTTTGGAATGGTCGGGAATGTTTCATCATCAAAAGTTGATCATTTTTGAATAATTTTTTCTTTTTTTTCTTCAAAAGACAAATGAACGATGCTCAAGCTCATATTTCTCTCATTTGGGTGGTTTCATTTAGAATTCGTTCTCTCCTTCGTCGCAATGTGATCCATTTTTGTTTTGTTTTGTTTAAACGAATTATTTTCAAGAAATCGACATTTATTCATAAATCGAATCGACAGTTGTTGTTTGAGTTCGGTTTTGTTTGTATTTATCGGATTTTGAATGGAAGAAAAGCATGTTTTTGTTTAGCTAAAACTTGAAAACTTATAAAACGCGTGTCAACCACGATACGCATTTCCACAGTACGCGGAACGTGAACATCGGTTTTTCCGTCGTCGTCGTCATCGTGCCCATTGATATGCCTTTTTTTTAAATGCGGCAATGACTGTATGCTTCGAATGTTTTAAAAACTATTTTTGGATATTTATGATCAGTGAGAAGAAGAAAAACGCAACCGTGAAGCGACAAAAACGGCTCGGCTCTTGTTTATTGGTGCTCCGGTCTCGCTGTGCAGCTCCGGGTACACAGGCCAATCGACAACATATGTTGTGGGAGAGATGGTCTCTCGCGCGTCGTGCAACTTGTGCACAATACTGTACTCAACAATACTCATTGCCTGCTTTTGTTGTCGCACTCTCGGACCAAACACATAAATTGGTGTCATTTTAATCCCATTGAATCAAATTCAAAGCTGAAATTTTCCACTTTAATTGAATTGAACCGTTGAAATTGCATTGCATATTGCTGTGTCGCCGAGAGTATGAACCCGTGCGTGTGCATGAGCGCGCTGCACTCTTAAACAGCCTGTGTGTCTCTCAAATGTTAGTTTGCAAATAATATTAATATTTATCAGATTGTTCCTGTTCATCATGTGTCGACACCATTTCGGCATTTTCAGATTGCAAACGCTCGTCCACTCACACGTTCATTGTTCTCTTCATTGGTCGATGCGATGAAATTAGAAGACACGATGTGTGACCGGTTTTTTTTTCTTCTCCACAAGCACCACAGATAGTGTGTAGTGCAACCATACAAAATCCAATATAAATTTTGACCACTTGGGGTGTGTTATTGCATTTCGGATGCGTGCGTGTATATAATAGCGAAAATGCTATTGAATGCCCGGTTGCGCGGGCGGACGGACGGAAAAGCCAAAGAGAGAGAGAGAGAAATTGTGCCGAGAAAGTGCTTGGGTTGCAAGCAAACTGAACTAACAAACGAGCCTGTTGGTAATTGATGACTCCGATGCACACATACACAACACATGTCGGTGGTATATTGTGTTGTTGCTATTATTATTATTTATATCCGAGAATTGCTTCTTTTATATTATCCCGATGGATGGAGACTGAGTCAGAGTGAAGAAAAAGCAAGAGCGAGGGGGAGAGAACGCACGCGAGACGCTCAAAAAACCTTTCAATGCACAAAAACGCACCATATCGACACAAATATTGACTCTCTCGGTGCTGCGCGATCAGAGCGCGAACGACAACATCAAAAGGAAATAGACTTATATGTTTTGCTTTTCTTTTGCTTCACATTGATGTTGTGTGTGTGTGTTTTTTTTTTGCTCAACTCTCTGTTGTTCTTCTCGCGTTGTTCGGTTCGTGTTTAATGCTAAACATAAATACACAACATAGGGCGACCATTTGCAATATGCCGCAAACAATGGCATAAATTCGATGAGTGTCTTGGCTGTTTTATGCACATTGAACCGAGAGACGCACATACACACACACACACAGAACGCAAATGATTCTTTGCTTTTCGGTCAAATAAATGAAGAGAAAAAAAACACATGCAGTGCAAATCGTAAAAATTGCATTCAATTCATTTTTGTCGTATGCAATTCTCTGGATGCTTGTTTCTTCTTTTCTTCTCTTGTTTTTGGAATAAAATCATTTTCGCCCACGACAACGACATTGCATACAAAGCAACACACTTTGTTTATTTTAATCAGATTTTCAGTGACAAACAAAAACGACACTCTCTGTCAGTGCGTATACTATGCTGATTCAAGTACATCGAAAATTATCGCAGTCATTTATATGCAGGGATCGAATTCATAACATTATTTCGGTTGTTAGCTCCTCATCCAGTCGGAATTGATGTGTTTGTGACGAGAGATTTTGTTCGGTACGACGGGTGCTGCTTGTTGCAGAACAGCCGATGCCCCGAAGCTACTATACCATTTATCTTGAAGATCCAGCACATATGTAATTTTCGTAAAAGCAAACTGATTTTCCAACACAGCACCGCACAACTTCACTTCTTCACCACCCTTATTCACTTTTTTTCTCTTAATTTTTCGTTTGTTTGTTTACTTCTTTATTTTCTTTCGTTTTTTTTTTGTTGTTGTTATTGCAAAAATTTAATTTTTTCTTTTTTCCGTTTGTTTGAATTTTACTGAAATTCGCTGTTGTCACAGTACGCTAACGTTGGCTACATTGATTGAGCATTGTCACATTCAATTGGCTGATTTAATTGATGCTTTCATTCGTCGTAAAATGTTCTCACTCTTGTTCTCGTCGTGAACACAAAACGATGCACAACAATCGAATCAACAATTTTTTTGGCTTTATTGGTTGTTGTCTTCGTCGTCGTCGTTGGTGTTGTCGTGTAGTAATACTTTTTTTTTTTAATTTGATTTGTATTAGTTTTGTTTGATTTTCAGCACAAGCCACAAATAGTTACCGCAATATGATTAAAAATATTGATGTATAACGATATCTTACGACGCCTCTCACTCTGTTTATTAGGTATTCAAACCAGAAAATGGACCAAACAAAAAATTTGATTTTCAAACAATTGAACCAACAAAAAAAATATATAATAAACTAATAATCACACTAAACAATACGCAATTTTTCTCGTCGGTTGAAGTCGTTGTCGTCGTGGTCGTCGTTTGTACACACGCAAAATAATGCGGCCAACATACAACAACGTTTATGTTACACTATTTTTTAGTTGAATCATAATCACAATCCAAACTACTCCACGAAAGCTGTAAAGCCTGTAGCCCAAACGGAGCGATATACCAGCACCGTATAGATGAAAAACGTACTCGTTGATTCTGTTGATTTTTTTCTTCTTCGTCTCTCTTCTTTTTCTCTCTCTCTTTACGATACTACACACTATACACACATACAGTCACACGTTCATGCATTTCTCGTCGTCGTCGTCTTCGTTGTTGGTCGGGAGACGCAACAAATCTTTCTCTCTTCGGGCAAACACACGAATGTGAGTGAGCGTGAGTGTATAGTGTATGTGTATGTGTAGTAAAACAAATCGGAGTGTCGATTTGCGCACAAATCGACGCACATCTGTGAGTCATATGTGTGTGGAGAGTAAATTGGCTGCTTTGCTCGCTCGCTTGCTTGCTTGATTGCATACAGCATTATGTGTTGTGCATTCGGATACTCAGAACAGTATTGAGCCGAAGCGAGAACGATCCAGAAAAAGTGGCTTGCTTTGAGTGAGCAAAAGAGATGGCGCGAAACAACGAGAGAAATATAAAAATGACAATAATGAGCCCCCGAAGTGTGTGAGCTGAACATACGGTCGCGTGTATATATGAGCGAGAGAGAGAGAGAGAGAGAGATTGAGAGAGATACCGCGAGCGTTGCCATGTGTGTATGCGTGAATTAGTATGCGGGATAGAATCACAAGCAAATTAATAGAAAACTCAAAGACGATCAACGGACGATATTTGTAGACTATACAAATTTTTGTATATGGTTTTTTTCTTCTTCTTCTTTCGTTCGACTTCTTTTCTAAATGGATTTACAAATACGCAAATGAATCTCACGGCATTTCCCATTGAGAGAGTGCCTAGAGTGTATTTCGAAGTCGTGACTTCCACTTGTGTTCGTATGGCTGTTGATGTGCTCGCAGAGTATTACGCTGTGTGTATATTAATTGAGCTACTAAAATGAAATCAGCTTTCTAACCAAGTCCCATTGTTGTTTTTTCTGTTGATCCCTTTCCTTCTTCATCGTTTTGCGAGCTAGCGTACACACCGACACACATACATGTGCAACCGATTCGATTGTCATACACAGATGACCATTGCATCGCCTCCAACGACAACGACAAACTGCGACTTGTTGGAATCAACAATCGATCTAGTAGATTTCGGTCTCTTTTTCTTCTTCGTTCGAAGATGAAAGCAAGACTACTTTGATTGGAAATAAGAGCAAACACAAAGATATTTGAGTTCTTTTTGTGTGAACGAAATTGGAAATTATAGTAATTGAGTTGTAATGAGGAGGTGAAAAAAAAATCGACGGCTCAAAGGATAATTCGGTAATAAATGAAAAATTAAGTTTTTAGAAGGACAACAGGCTAATATCTCTACACTTTCAACCGTTTGGGATGCATATGCATACACCGGCAACACATACACACAAACAACGCCAGCGGTGAATTTGTAAACACACCAAGTGGATATAAATTCTAATCTAGGGGCCGAACGCGTTCAAGCCAAATTTTAGAGTTGACGGTATGTTGAGCCTATCAATTTGAGGACAACATTTGGCCATGATTATTGCCATCAACAATTGGAGTTCATGTCATTTTTATTTACAAACATCATTTTTCAATTGATTAAATTAACAACGGAAAACAATTGAAGATTCAATTGATCGAAAAACAAGGGTCGATAATGGCAAATGGTTCGAAGCCTTTGAAATGGAGGAATGAACTAGTTCTTGTTGTTGTATTGCCCCTAAAAATATATTTGAAGTAAGGGAAAATCAGTCCACAAGGAGAGAAAAACTCAAATAGAAATTAAAAAAAACACTTCTCCAATGGCTCAACTGACTATTTTCTCCCGCCTTCTTTGGTTTTTGCAGAGCTATTCCATCGTTTTAAGAATTCAAATTCATCGATTGCAATGCAAAAATAAACCATTGAACCAGTGCAAAAGTGATAAAATCCCCTGGCCACAACACCAGTCATATACTGATAGGATGAAGACCACAAAACCTATAAAACGGTCATGCGCACATGCGATGACGTTGTTAAATTTTGCTTTCTCGCTTTCGTTGTGTTTTTTGCCGTGTTTATGTGTGTAGGCACCGCGACTCGAATGTGCGTTCCGTACCTTCGTTTAATGTATGCATGTATGTATGTGAATTGTGTTTTTTTTCGTTGCTGTTGTTTGCTATTTGTTCACTTGTAGGCACACAGGACTCGTGCTCTCTCCTTCTCACTGTGAATGAATTATGTTACATTTTATATTATAAATAATATCGTAAAGTGATTTCTGTTTTTATGCGCTCTACCGGAAAGGCTAAAAACGTATCAACAAAATTGTCTTGTTTACGCGTCATCGATTCATTCGGGTGTGCGATTTTTCATGTCACATTGATGTGTAAACAAATTGTGTACGGCGCACGGTACAGGCAACTCTGAAATTTTCTATCTTGACTGCAATTTTTTGTTTCTTCGCTTCATATTACAAACGGCTACTACAACCACGTAAAATTAGTTCAAAGGCGTGAATTTGCGAATTTGCCTTGTTTTTAAATGATCCCATTTGGCGTCGGTCACACTGGTTACGAGCCAAGGATTTTCTCGTACATTGTGAATATCAGCAATGAAGTGATCTGTTTTATTTTTCACGCCATTCACCTACGATCGATTTGTGAATGGGATTTTTAATTCGATTGTCAAAACAACGAGAGAAAAACATGCGCTCACTACGACTCTTTGATTCACTCTACTGAAGAAAGTATTTTTGGAAGAAATGGCCGTTCGAAAGAATTACTGATAGAGATTTTGAATATATATTCCATTCTTTCGATATTAAAAAAGCAGAGGAAGAAGGGAGGGAAAAAAACCTCGAAATTGACTGTTGAATTTCTCTGATTCATTTGCATAAGCCGAATGAAGTTGGATCGGGCCGAGAGAGAAGTGATCGCATTCGCTCGCTCGCTCGCTCGCTCGATCGATCGCTCGGTTCGCTTTGGACTCATTTAATTGGCTTCGAATGAAACCTTCACTTTATTCAAGACGTGTTCTTTTTTATTTCGTCCATTCGTTCATTCAGCGGTTTATTAGACGGTTTTTATGTCTCGACTGACTTAAGCTCCATTTCGATAATCAATTTTTGATTGAAGAGAGTGCCACTTGATTATTGTCTCTACTCAATCGCTCGCGCTATTCGAAATTATATCGCTGATTGAGCCGAATGTACTTGAGACGTGATGAATATTAGGCACTCATCATTCCAATGATGCAGTCGGCGGCTGGTTTTTTCCCTTCTTCTTTGTATCGTCGATTTGTGTTGTTGTTGTTGTTTTCTTCATCAGCTTCCATTAAGTGGATAGTTAATCGAAAGTGATGTTGTTTATTGAATGTCGGATGTTGTGCGAATGTGTGTATGCGTGTGTGTGTGTGTTTTTTTATCGGGCCCATTAAAAGGGCATTTAACTAGATCGTCAATCGTTAAACATCATTTCTCTCACTCGTTCGTTTGGCTCATTTTTCTTCGGTCCAAACAGGCGCATTTTCTGTGGCAATATTTTCAATCGGCATTGAGAATCGAAGCGGGAAAACAACACAAGCTAAATTAAGGCACAACAAATCTACATTTATTCGATCGCGCTCGGCAAAGCACTTTGTTCGATCGAAACGACATACATTTCAGTTTTGCGTTGCTTTAGTACAGTTTCAGTGTGCGTTTTCAATCAGTGAAAATGGTTATGAATTGCAAAACATGAAAATGAGTGAAACAAACGCGCGTTTGTTGTATTATTCATTAGTTTGTTACAATTTGAGTAAAAATGTGTTATTGTTTTCTTTTGCATCTTTGTTTCGTTCGTTTGTTCGTAGCTCTTGTCTAGGCAAAAGGTTTGCGATGTAACAGCAACAACAGCAACAGCAGCAGCCGTGGTAATGGTTGTATGTATTTTTTTTTGGTCAATACGTATTCCAGAGCGTGAATCGACAATGAGCCTCATTGAGAAGAACAACACACTTCAATCACAGAAAATGTACGTGGAAAAAACAAGTACCGATGAAATATATATATGCAACAAACCATTTTTCTTCGATGAAGAAAGAAAGACCGATGGAACAAAAAACAATACACACACACACATACACACACTCGCACACAGAGCAAAACGTGGAAAACGAAGATATGAAAAATACCCAAAGCATTGAGTGAATAATGGTGTTGGCGCGCGCAATTAGAGCTTGAAATCTACAAACAAAGAAAAGAACCATTTTTCGCGTGTGCATATCCCGCACACCACCACCTCCGCCCGTCGTCGCCGCTTTTTTCATGTAACCAAGAGAAAAACATGTAAATTTTGCTACGGCTTTGGCTTTGGTGTTTGATGGAAAAAACAAACGCTTATCGAACACAACTCATCCGGCTTACTGTTACGCAGTTTACTAGTTCACAGGTTTTGATCGAGTTTTTTTTTTATACCGTGAGCTCGCGCTCGAGCACCCGACCAAATCTATGCTCACCCATTTTACTGGATGGAGTCATTTCTACTGTTGCTGCTGCTCTTGCTGTTGTCATTATTACTCTCTTCATTGGCTTTGTTGTTGCTCCGGTTGCTGCTGCTACTACTTTTATTTCTTTCTCTTCACTACATCATGTTTGTCCTTTATTACCGTATGCCAGCTCATTGTAATTAATTACTACGAAATGGTCCGATCGAATTGTAAATGCGCGTTTGTTTACATTCCATGTTTGTTTTTATAACAATTGATAAAGTACAATGGAATTCTTGTATAGTTGTAGCGCGCACCCAGTGTATGTGAGTGTGTACGCTTTTTTCGATTCTTTTTACATGATTATCAAACGTGTGAAAATGATGCATGTATATAAACATCTTAGTGAATTTATTTACATTTCAACTCTGTGTTAATGACTGTTTTTCTTCTTATTTTTCTTTGTTGTCGTAATTTGTCCGTTTGTTCATTCGTTCGATTTATTTTCAAATGCAAACCATTTTCAAATTGCCATTTGTTATTGTTTATCTTATCGAAAGCTGGAGGTAGTGCACAATCTTATCTTCTTTATTGAAACACAAATTAAAAGCGTATGTTTGCAAATACTGCGGAACAGAGACACAAACACACCAACTGCGTTATCATTGCCCGACGCAATTACGGATTATTTGCATGTTTGTGCCAAATTTCGAAGCCATTACAAGAGACACATTTATTGCGAATCTGATAAACGGTCTTTCGGGCGCCACCGACAACAACAAATATATTTGCCGAATTTGGAGCAAACTTCTCGCGCACTTTTTCTTCATTTCTTGTGTAGGTGTGTATTTTTGTGATCTCATTTTAGCATTTTTTTTTTATGAATTTTAACCAGAGTATGAGTTGTTTTCATTCTCGTGTTATGAAAAACGGTACATTTTTCGAATTGGTGGCATTCATTTCAGCTGGAAATTGTGGCATTGTTAATGAAATAGTCACGTTTTCATCGCTACCGAAATAGAAAATCTAAAATAAGACGCAAAGTTGATTTTGACGGGAATATGGAGCGTTTTTGTTTTCTTCATAATTCCTTGAAAATTATGATCATTTTCTTAGAAGTGAATGATTCTGTTTTTCGGACATTTTGATGGTTTTCTCACAAAATCAGTTCATTTTCCCGATAAATTCCGTCAATTTTACCAACAAATGCAGTTGGTTTAACGTGAATTGTGGTCGTTTCCCCAAGGAAACCATTCATTTTTATTTCAGTTGATTCATTCATAAAAACCCATTTAGTTTCTCAAGTTGCATCGTAAATTTTCTAATAAATCTAAATTCGAATGAAGTAAAACTCTATTCTCTTCATAAAAATCCCGTCTGCTTTTCACTCATCGTTCTCTCAATAAAAACTCATTTTCCTAATGAAATGCAGCCGTGGCTTGCGTCATAAAAACCCTTCCCTCATCGGAACGATCAAGTGACGCATTTTATTCTGGGAACAACGAACGACAAAAAAAAAACAGCAGCAGCAACTCATTCAGTCCTTCGTCGCCTTGTTCCTCTCTCACTATCTCACGTTTTGCTTTGCACTCTCAAGCGCGACTCCAATTCAGTTTCTAATCATCCGTAATAAAATCTGAAGGTTAAATTCGATATATTCAAGTGAGAAATATGGGTTTTGAAGTCACAACTTGACATAAAACATCGAACAACATTAAATACAAATAATGGGAATCGCGTCAGAGCGCTGAAAAAGAGACGGCAACGACGATGATGACGATGAGACAATTTTACAATTATCGAATTATCGTTCGTAAGTAGTTGCTCTTTCATCTTGATTGCGGTTATTTCTCTTTTCAAATGCGATCGTGAGTCGAATGAATGTGATTGGAGCGAGAAGAACGAAGGAGGAGAAGAGAGAGGCAGAGAGAGAGAGAGAAGACGTTCGCACGAATGTAGAAGCAAGTCGGGGCAAAAATAGCCGCATTTTATTATTTAATGGTCAAGATAATAGACGCGCATATCAAATAGTTTTAGTTTAATAACACATCTTCTGTTGCATGCAAGCGGGTATAATCTGGCATAAAATTGATTGAAATGGTTGCGTTGATTGAATTAGCGAGTAGAAAACACAAATAAATGCTTATCGAAATGAATGGAACATAAAAATTGATGTATTGCGTTGTGGCCGCGGCGTTAGCGTGCATTTGAACACTGGTTTTTGGTAATGAGCGTAAAAAGAGAATCATAATCCCAAAATTCGAGACACTGTCATTTGTCACGCAGTGATTTCGCAAAGATTGTGTCCAAATCGAAGAAACAGATGTTGATTCAATAGCCCGAATGCACGCAGAATTAGTCAATCAGTGGGCCAGATTCAAAGTCGCACAGGCTACATTTGTGTTGAATTGCCTCAGCTAGTGTGTCATTTGGAAATGATATAATGAAACTAAGCCCCTAACTATGCCTGTTGCTCTCGTTCGCTCTCTCTCGCATACACACACAAGCACAAATCACTCAATTACTTTGAGCCGCGGCTAATCTCTAAAAAGATATTTAAACAGTTCGTCGTTACACGAAGCAAACAAACAAATGAGAGCGAGAAAAAAATAGGCAGACAGGCGAACAGAGAAAAATCATAAACTTAATCTGGCCTGTGGATTGATTTACGGGTTTGACGCGAAAGTTCAAATCCACACACAGAGCGACCCGAAATGATATCACAAGCGAAGCTACACAATCTAAAACGGGAAAAACCGATGAGATGGAAAGTGATGCTTGTGTGTGCAGCATCAATGCGAGCGCTTATTTTGCGCCCATAAATATGCTACACACATATGTCCATCACTCACCACAGTTGAACCCACTTAAATTTTGTTGTGCGTGAACCAGTGCAAAATTGGACAAAAACGATGCAAATGTTGCCCCGTTGTGTCGAAGGAGCGAACGAAATGCAAAGGAAGTCAAATTATGAATAGTATGAACAAACCCAAGCTGATTACATGTCAGACACTTTCTCAAAGCCACAAATCAAAAGGATTCGAATGGAGAAAAAAAACTGTTGCACCACTTTGTGCATATGTTTTTTTCTTTCACTTCTGCTTAACTCGTTTTGAATACACAGTTGTTCCTTTTTTGTGTGTGTTCGTTGTCGTTGTTGCTGTTGCTGCTGTTACAGCACATGTTTTTAAAAGTTCATATTGCCTCATCGCTGCTGCACACACACAGTAAGTGAAGTTCATGAATGAAATAAATTTTAAAAAATGTATTTATGTGGCAGAAGAGGCGAACAGAGAAAGTGCCAAAAAAAAATAATGATAATAAATTGATGTGATACGGAAAAAATTGGCTGTCGCCTCACAATGTCTCGGAGATAAATGTGTCAACCATATGCTTTGGATCACACACAAAACTGTTTACAAAGAGAAATTAAACCAAAATGTTTCTTTAACGAAGTTCTTTTTTGCTTTTCGTGTTTTTTTTCTTGCTCAATTTATTCTTTTTTGAAAGATGCGAGAGCGAGAGAGAGAGAGAGAGAGAGAGAGAGAGAGAGATAGAGGGAGAAAGCGTGAGTGAAAAAACTGTTTCGTTACATTTTGTTATTGCTTTAGGTCTGTCTTTTGGTTGTTTTAGCTGCAATTCCAAATGTTTTAAACATATAAATAAATAAAAGAGTCTTTTCATTTCATCTGCAAAATGACGTCCTTCGTTTCGAAACACATAAAATTGGAATAAATTTGCAAGTTTTCTTCAATTCATGTGTTTGTTTTCTTGGTTGAGTTTCATTATTCAATCCCATCGCTCAATTGAAACTTCATTCTCTACTTGTTTTTCTCTTTTCAAAGTATGGTCTTTTCTTCTTCGACTTGAAACACTCTTCAATTGCAACATTCTCTTGAATGGTACATTTTTTACGGTGATTCTCACTTTTGCATTGTACTGCACGGTGCTGCTGCTGCTGCTGCTGTGTTTTGTTTTCATTCCCTTTGGGTAATAATTTAATCATTTTACATGTAATCTCATCTCTCATACAATAAACACAATAATTGTTTGATTCGTGCATGCAATTTGAAAGTTGATCGTGTTACTTTTGAACGTCTCCGTCACTTGCGGCTCTCTGGCCCGCTCACTGACTCCCTTGCTCGCTAGCTCACAGCACGCGGTGAATGTGCGTATTTATTTGTAAGTGTATTCGTTTTTCGCTTGAGTACGTATCGTGTGAATTCATAAAAATCATTTCGTTAATAAACAATCCATCTTAATAGTGCAGTCACTTTTCGGTTCGGCCACTTAATAAAGCATATATTATGTGCGTAAATTATTCAATTCCGGCTTTTGTTCGGCTATATGTATACGCGTTTTTTCTTCTGCTGCAATGAACTCTCACGCCCGTGGTCGCTCTTTCTCTGTCCCTTTTACTCTCTATGTGTTTGGTTGCGGCTATCTTTCTCTTGAAACATTGGGTCATATTAACCTCAAACAAATAATTTGTCGGTGGTTTTTATTCTGTTCTTTTTTTTTATTATACACATTTTTGATGTCGTCGGTTTTTATGAGCCATTGAAAATGCATACGTACGCATTGTAATATGGAATTAGTCACAGTTTCACCATATTAAAATGTCATTGAGACTGGATTCTTAAGGCACTTACTTTTGTCTTTTCGGTTTTGGTATGAATGTACATTATGTATCTCGCCCTTTTGTCGGACTCGCACTGAACAATTGTGAACAATTGGGGAGTCTTAAGGTTTTGAACACGCGCACGAAGAAAGCGTTTGTTATATTTTTGCTGATATCGATCGATTTATGAGATCGAATTCCTTTCTGCGATATCGATTCAATCTTCAATCCTCATATACATATATATATGCTTCCAACAAAACAAAACTCGAAAATCGACTGAATGAACGTATATAAAACGGTACTTACTATTGAAAAGCATCAATTTTCGAGTGGATCCAAGCCGTTTGATTGGGCTTTTCACGCCTTCTCCATTTTCGTCCATCGCTGTTACGCCATTCATGTTTAATTGTAAATATACAACTATCTTCGTTGTGGTTGCTGTTGTTGTTGTTATCGTGTTTCGTGTGTCTTCTTCGTTGCGGTTGCTTGTTTTTATTTGCTTCTTCACTTCGTTTCCTTTTGATTTTGAATTCAATTTAATGTGATGATAAACGGTATATCGCACATATCGATCCGATCGGATATCTGTGTTACGTCAATTTTTGGCCGCTGCCACCTGCAAAATACAACGAATAAATTGATACAAATGCACGTGTTAAATTCCATGAGAAATTGTGAAATTGAATAAAATCGTGTGTCTTATCAAAGATATTCAATTCGCAGGAATGTTGTGCAGATTTATTGCTCTTTTTGCTCACTTTTTTACGTTAATCACATTTTTTGGATATGTACATTTGCATTTCTGTAATGTGAATCGCTTACGCATCATCATCACATTGCAAGGATATGCAAATCGTTGGAAGTGTTTTGTGTTTAATGGCCACGCATCTCTTCGTCAGATTTGTGTAGTGATATTTAAAAATGCAAGTCAATTTTGCGGCAGTGAAATGAAGCAAACTTTTTTCAAAAACATTCGGTTAAAAAAAGGAGATCAATCAATTAGATAAAGCCATTCGCCTTCATATCATCAAACCTGAAATCCAAATGCAAATGGTAACCACCTTATTCTTCATCGTCAATCGCAATCACTCGCGTTAGATGATCGATCTCATATATTTACGCACAAGCTAATTGAATTAATTGCTAACAAAATTATGTAAAAAAAAACACAGACAACTCTTTTTTTAGCGTTTGTCGGTCCAAAATTCGATCACTTTAAAAACCGGTGACATTTTTCGAAATGGTATCAGTTTTTTGTGAAATTTCAAACGAAAAACATCTAAACATGAAGGTACATACGAACAAATTGCGAGCATTTTCTGTTTGACACTAGTGAATACGATTCGAATTTTTTCAACTTTTGTCAACAATATTTGTGAATGAAATCCAAAATATTAAATTGAATTGAAATTATCTAGCTTCAAAAAAAAGACAATCGAAAGTTAAGCAATCAAAGCTTTAGAATGTTCCTATCAAAGTCAAAATTGTGCAAATCACGAGTGACATCGATAAAGTCAATTGCTGATCAAAGTGTTTATTCTTTTTTCTCTCTATTTATTCGGACTCAGACTTTCGCCGTTGTCTTGTCAATTTTAGCTCACGCCTCAGCCGGACTTTTGCCATCCGAGAATTTGTTGCCACCAAAGGAAGGATACGCATACCCAGCATCAGCAGAAGCTCAATACCACCATGGTACAATTTTCATTTTTTTTTTAATTCATAAATTTGAGAAAATTTCAAAGGAAATTCCGCGGGGGTATCATTACGCTAACAACAATATCATTTGCAAAATGAAATTCGTTCAAAACCTGCTGACACAGAGTTAACTCGCTCACTTTACAAATGCACTTGTTCATCTTGCCGGTTTGACAGCTAATGTCAAATCAACTTCTGTTTCAGAGTAGTTTTCTATTCGAACGCAAACGTTTTCTCAGTATGGTCCGCAAAATTAAAAAAAAACAATTCTGCCACGAACCAGTTTCTATTTTGAATCTAACATTTTGTGTTTTTTTTATTATAGAAACTCCAATATTTCATATAAAACCTCTCATACAACTCAATTGAAAATGGAAGAAGAATATTTTTTTTAAATACGGGTTTAATCTACCGAAAGAAAGCAATTTTTTGTCTTGTGTGCCAGCGGCATCACAATTTTATTTGGCAGAATCGAAACATTTTTATTTATTTAAAATTCAAATGATAATTACTATTTCACCACACAAACTATGTTTGACACTGCATTGCATACACTCATCAATGTAGTTCCCGTCAAAATGTGTGGCGTTGTTGGTTTGACGTTTAATGATCGAGACTATCGCGGTGGGAAATTCATTCATCTCAGTTGTTGACCTTATTTCTTTGGGAATATTTGAAAAACTGGCCGTTTGCATGAAGAAAATACACATAAATTCAATGGATGCAAATATAAACTCGCAATATACAATTCAACTAATGTCAACTGTTCAATATAGCACCAGCTCAATTTGCCGTTCAAGAAGTTCATGCCTCCCCAGCACAACAATTCGTTGAAGCTGCTCCAGCTCAAATTTCCGTCAAAGTAATCCAAAGTGAACCAGTAAGTAAATCAACCAATCTATTTTCTCTCCATTAAAATTCAATTATTTTCAGAATTATTCCGCCATCAAATATCATTTTCTTTTCGTTTATCATCGAGTTTTCACCTCTGTTCGATGTCTTCCAAGACATTTTGTGCTCATTTCGAGACAATTGATCACATCGAAATTGTTATAATCGACATGATTTGTTAGCAATATTGACTGTGTTGAATGGATTGAGCGAATTGATCGAATTGCTTACCCAGAATATTTGATGCGAATTTGATTTGATGATTCCAAGCAATTTGATCATATTGTTCCACAGTTCAAAGACCAAATTCTTCCAAAAATTTGTATCGTTTCGAAACATTTCAATTATTTCATTTCAAAATACAAACAAGTCATTTACGCATTCAAAAAAAAATCATCGTTTTTTCATAACAACGGTTCGATGTGCCCAAATTCAAATAATAGAACTATCGATGAAAACAATTAAATCGTTTATATTTATACAGATTGCCACTCCAGCCCCAATTGCCATTCAACAATTCCACGCTGCCCCAGCTCCACAACCCGTTCAACAATTCCAAGCTGCTCCAGCTCCACAAGTCGTTAAAGTGATCAGTGAACCAGCACCAGTATTCTACTCTGGTCCAGCTCAAGCCCCTCACTTGGTTGCTCCACAGGTAATGATCAAACTCCATGAATTTGTATATTTCTCTGTTGTCTAATGGTCTAGTATAGCTCTCGATTAAGAGAAATAGCAAGGCAAATCAACTCAAAAATATGGTGAATTTTGGGCGGTTAAACTCACTTTCCGAAGTGAAAGTGTTTGTGAATATTAAAATGGTGTTATTTTTCATATAGTATGCCGCACCAGCCCAACAATACATCAAATATGTCCAATCGGCTCCACAAGTAGTTTGATCATTTTGAAACTAAAACACCGAAAGTATTACAATTTAAACGTTAAAGCAAATGTAACCGTTTAAAGTGTAATATTGAATGATTGTGGCAAATTTAAAAAGTTCGAAGAATTTTGATCCCAAAAACAAATCACACATATTTAGATCACATCAATTCGAAAGGGAATGGTACTTGAACTAAATTGCAATTTGTTCTGTTTTTTTAGGTCCAACACACGCAACAAATCATCAAAGTCATCCAACGAATTGCTGTGCCAGCACCAAAACCACTACAAATCATCAAGCTCGTGCAACAACGTCCAGCTCCGAACCCAGTTAAAATCATTAAAGTGATCAACTCAAACAATGATGTTTCATCATCCGGAAGATACAGCGGTTGGAGCTCTTTGTTCAACAGTTTCCGTGGCTCATCAGACAATGGTCCATCACCAAATGTTAGAATCATCAAGATCATCAAGGCCCAACCAGAATGGAACTGGTAAATGCGAAGTCCGCGCTAAGGAAATCATTGCAAGTTTAAGCAATGGCCCAAGTCATCAGATGCTATTTTTTATACAAATTTAAGGCCAAATCAATTTTTTTTACTTGGAAAAATGTTGCAAATTTTGTAAATGTAAAATTTGACTAGCGAAAAAAGAAAATAAAAGTCCTACTACCTTAGAGTAGTAAATTATCAACTATTAGAAAATGACTGGTGCTTCCCTTTTTTTCTGTGAAAATAGAATCAGTGAAACATACAAAAATTCATCTTTACAAGATTTTAAACTTAGGTACGGAAATAAATGATTTGCATTTTTTTCGGCTTTGGAGATAAAAACACACACAGAGATACAGAGAGGAAGAGAATTTGGCGATGAACAGTTCGATTCCCATTTGGAAACATCGATCGAAATTTATGCATAATTGACAAAAGAGAAGACAAAGAAGCGGAAAGGAAAAAATGACATTCAGAAAACTTTTACTTGACACTGTCGATTTCTATACACGCAGCATGAAAATAAGCTAATGATTTGATTGGAAATAGAAGATGATTTGTTTGTCTATTTAAAAGAGATGAAAAAAATGTGCATTGCACGCAACCATCGCTTCGAACTTTTACCTTATGAATAAAGGCTTTGAAAAAAAACAAAATCTAGGTCGTTACATTGGGAAAATAATAACAATTTAATGCTCTGCCATCGGCAGAGAGCATGCATCGTGCGACGAAACAAAGCCACAAATATGTCATTTATCAGGCGAAGAGAGCGGTTTGTGTGCGGTGTTGTTGCTACACAGTCGCAGCCGCAATCGTTGTTTTTTTTTTTAAAACACCATTTGAATGTGAATATATTACACGACAATTGAATACACACGTAACATTGACTGCCGCAGAGCATCGTAACAACATACACATCAAATTGAAATTCAACAATTTCTCACCCTATGCTCATGCTCTGTGTGCACGTTGCGATGATTAATTGCGCACATTATGTGCGATCGAGCAAGCAAATGACCAACCGCCCGATTGTCTGACGTAATTTTTCAAAGTAATTTTTGGTAATTGAATGACCCAGTCAAAGATGCGTTCCATTTTGTTTCGTTTGTAATGCATTTCAAATTGGGTTAAACATCGGTTTTGTACAACACATAATGGGCTAATTGCCGCCACCGCCACAGCCTCCGTGAAAAAGATATCGCCCGATCCTCTTTCAGTCAGGTGTGAATTTGAGCGTTCGCAAATACGAATTAAAATTCAACGGAGATTTGCACGTGTTATTAAGCGAAAAGATGCGAATGAGGTTACAACATCAATACGCAGATTTGCAAACGTAAAAAGTAATAATCTCAATTTGTTTCGCCAATTTCATTGCGAACCTGCGACTGTTGCGGGAAAAAAAGGATTGATTTGATGCCATTGCTGCCGTAGCAAAAACAACAAATGAACGATTGTCATCCGACAAATGATTCGTTGATTAAGTGACCAAAACACAAAAAATTGCATCATGTATATGCAGATTTTTTTTTTCCAATCACGCATTTTATAATTCGATGTTTTTTTTTCTTCTTTGACAATTAAGTCTCTCTAAATTCAGTTTATGTAAAAATCAAAAATCAAAAATCAACTTGCAAACAAATATGTTTTAATAACTGGGCATTAGCAAATGCGCCGCTGGAGAGGAAACGTGCGTACAAAAATGGGGAAGGGGAAAAACGCAAAAAATTCATTAGGTTTTATAAAATTTGGTAATAATATTATCCCATATAAGTCATCCCAAAAAGCCTTGCCGACTGATTATTTTATGTTTCTATCCACCGAAATTTGTGTGACTTTCAATTTGCAAAAAAGGCGATTTTTGCATTTTGAAACGCGTTATTTTTCATTATTATTCTTCGCCTAAGATTAATATGCTTAGATAAATGGCAAACGCACACACACACACACACACACACACACACACTGTGTGTAAACATAAAGATGAATTCGGAGGATAAGAAAAAACTGAAATTTTTGGGGACATTGAGCCACTTTGATAGAATGCGATGGACAAAGATGGTAATAGAGTGGATAGGAAAAAAACATGATGGCAAACGCACATATAGCGTACGCTCACGCTATCGATCTCATCTTATTCGCATTGATGCGAAGACAAATGATAATATTAATGGTGCTGCATAAATAATAACAACAACAAAAGACAACCGTATGGAATATGAAATTCGGAACAGAAGAAGAAGAAGAAGAAGTAGGGAAAAAACATATCGTTATATGATAATTGCGATATCGAGCTTTTCTATTCATGTAATTAAAATCCAAAAAAAGAAAAGCAAAAACCTAATGTTGGTCGATGATTGTTTTCATATTTTTCTTTTCATTCGGTGTCCCATCTGTCCTCTTGTTGTTGTTTCGTTTTCGCTTGTGACTTTGGGCTGTGCGGCAATGTAGCGATTTTTTTCAGGCTAGGTATCTAGCTACTGCGTGCGCGGACACCTTTCTCATATGACGGTTATTTTGGCTAATTTTTTGAAATGGTATAAAAGCTCGGCGCTGCCAGTTAGCCAGCATCAGTCAGTTGACTCTTGTGAGCTGTTCGACATCAACATGAAGGTAAAAACACAAAAGAAATTTGTCTAGTTTTTTTTTTAATTTTCGTGGTCTCATCTCTATTGGATGCCTTTCGGAACATCTTGTGTTTAACTGTGAATAATTGAAAGTTTGAGCCATTAGAAGTTTGTCGATAATTGAAGATGGAAAATTGAATATTTTTCAACCGATTCGCGAGTATTTGTTATCTCAGAACGTTTACATTTATCGAATAATAATTGGAACGTTTTGAATATATGTGAATTGTGAACGATAAAAACTAGAGCAAAAATAAAACGTTCTTCAGAAAATCGATCGTCCATCGATTTTTAGCACATTGTACCACAGTGAACTAAAAGCGAGTGTTTCATTGTTGCAGGTATTTGTCTGTGTCCTTGTTTGTGCTGCCTATGCATCGGCCGGTTTTTTGAGCGGCGGCGGTGGTGGTGACAGCGGTGGATGGCAATCAGGTAAGAATTTAAGTGATAATTTTAAGTGCGATTTCAAGAAGATCACCAGATTTGAAAATGCGAACGATCGGAAAATTGATAAAGAATCACTTGGAACATAGCAAAAGGATTCTTTGATGAAAGGAAACCGAAAACTCTTTGAGGAAAATCAAGATACCTATTCCGTTTGTAAACTAAGAGATTTTATTCTTTCCTTGTGAAAATCGAAAACTGTTTCGGGAAGCTTTCGTTTTCCGTTTGAAGAGCAAAAGATACGCATTTTTTTTACCGAGGCGATCCAACCACAAACGAATTGATCTTACCGTATTTCAGACAAATTTATCAAAAAAGATAATTGATTCGTCGAATTGTGAGAGCGGAAAACTGTTTCTACTCATTTTAAATTGACAAAATTGACGATAATTTTAAAAATTTCAATAATACTTAAATTTCATTCATCAAATTTTTCAAATAGCGAATCTGTCCGTGTTCAATTCACACGTTTAAAACTCTCCGTTTCAATTGACACACAATAAAACGGTTCGAAAGTGATAGAAACTCGGTCGTGTGTCATAAAAAGAAAAAACAACAGAAGAATCACACCATGCGAAAAGAAACGAAACGAAAAAGGCAAATTCAAAATAAAAATGGAGCTAAAAACAACAGTTTATTGGAGCGATATGAATAGAATATAACGGAAATGCTTGAATTGTTTGACACTGTTTTAAAATGTAAATTGGATGCGATAAAAATCATACGGCCATATAAAATTTATACGGTTTTAATCGGGCCATCGATCGAAATAGTTGTTCGAATCGCGTGCTCAGTATCAATATAGAACGTTCGAAGTGAAAACATGACCATTTCTGTGGAAAAAAATGATACCATTTTTGTTGAAAAATATAATAAATTCACAGAATTGGACGAGTCATATCGTATAAAAAAAGCGATAAATATTTGGAATGACTTGCGAGTGATTTAAACGTTTCAAATTCAATGTTGCAGGTGGTGGTGGTGGCGGCTGGCAAAGTGGCGGTGGTGGTGGCGGCGGCTGGCAAAGTGGCGGTAGCCTCGCTCCAACCAAGATCATCAAAGTGATTGAGGACCAAGGACATGGAGGTGGACATGGTGGATACTCTGGCGGACATGGAGGTGGACATGGTGGTGGACATGATGAGCAAGTCATCAAGATTGTTCGCGTTCAAGGTACGTTTCAACAATAAGAAGAAAAAAGAACCATAACGGTTTTTTGTTCGACATCCACAATTACAAATGAAATTGAAATGATTTCAAGCATGTGATTCACTTAATTGTGATAGTTCTGTTGCTTTTATTTCTATAACACATATTACTGTGTATGATTAAATCACAATAACACTTGGAATATATGTCAAATAAAAGGCAGAGAAAAACAACAACATAAAAATAACACTCGCGTCACTATGACTATCGTAAGAACGAATATTTAGATATGCGCATTCACATTTTTCTCTGCTGACTTGTAATAATCACACACATGAAACCGGTTGAAATAATGAGTGATGCAATTGCCATGTTCTCTCTCTCTCTCTCTCTCTCTCGACAAATTCAACATCATTCTCGTTGTTATGAATGTACGAAAAAAAAGTGACAACTTAAATAACTGGAACTTACTCGGCTGTGATTTTCGCGTGAAATTATTTCAAAATCTTAGCTGATTTACGCAAATATCAGTGGTTGAAACGAAAATGTCGAGTAAATTCTTTTGATTACAATCACAATACAAAAAAATTTGCATGTAAACACTTGAACATGAACGATAAAAAAAATGTCAAACAAAAGTCACAATCGAAATAATTACAAAATATGAACTGCGATTCGAATGGTATATAATTTCTGACTGTTTTGTTTTCCATTTATAGGAGGACATGGCGGCGGCGGCGGCGGCGGCCATGGTGGATACTCAGGCGGTGGTCATGGAGGTGGACACGCTGCTCCCGTTAAAGTTATCAAGGTTTGTATTTCAAAAATTTCTCTCGGTCTGAATCATAATCTACTCTCCCCGTCCAGTCATAATATTTCAATACAATTTTTTTTGCTGGAGCAACATTATCAGCAACACCATATTTGGTCATAAAATTTTATTTTAAAAAACGAAAAAAAACAAAAATCTAAGATAAACTATTATCAAAAATAGTTAACTACGCAGCCGTTTTATCTGCGTGCTCATTTTGGCTGACATTCCATAACGGATTAAATTAACTCTGAATCTTAGAACTTTAATTTCAATTGGGATTTTCTGATTCATTGTAGTTGATCGATGGTGGATTCGCTGGCGGTCATTCAGGAGGACATGGCGGCGGCGGTCATGGTGGATACTCATCAGGTGAGTGTCATTCTAATTTGAAAAACCATGGTTTAGCATGTATCAACGGTTTCTATACGGTTATTTCTTATGAGAATTCAACTGAGTCAGAAAAAAAGTTCGCCTATTCTGTTTGTGTCATGTGACGCATTAATTTCAAGATTGATTGGGAAATCCAATGTATCAAATGGAAATAAAATGCAATTCGGTTTTTTTTTCATGTTCATCCGCATCAACTGATATTCAATGTGGTATTTGTTTGCAGGACCAGCTCCACAAGTCATTAAAGTCATCAAAATCCAAGGTGGACCACCAAGCGGTGGCCAAGGATGGCCATCTGGTGGTATCTGGCCATCAAACGATCACCAAGGCTGGACTGCCGGTGCCGGTGGCTGGGATTAAGCCCAATATATACATCAATTTTGATGAGAATTTTGTACAAAAATAAATCAATTGTTGAATCGTAACACATTAGAGAACAAAAATTATAATCACAACCGGAAGTTACCAATCGCTCTAAAAAGAGAAACCCGAGGAGTCCTCTCTATTCGAAAATTCCAAACGAAAAAAAAAATTGTTTTCATTGTCTTTTTTTTATACGACGAATAAATATGTATTTATTAAAAATTTACACGCTCTGACTTTTGATTTTGGTTTTCGAAAACGATTTTATTCTCGATTTGGTCATTTCAGTCCGTTTCTCCGCTTCAAACGTTTGTTACTTTGAATGTGTTTTTTTGCTCGATTCGATTTTTTTTTTACACGAAAAGAATAGAGTTTAAGCTTATTTCAACATTTTTACGAAGTCACCCGAAGAACCGTCATATAAACAAAAGAATGTTGTACCTTTTTACATGAAACATTCATTAAAACCACAGACAAAAAGTCGTTCTGACTATTTAAGAATAATACACTCAAGAGCAACCGAAACGAATGCGAAAATGCTTGGAAAGAGATTTCAAGTAGCATTTCGTACACAAAGCAATCAAATAAAGGAATGGCCAAGAATGTGGTCGCACTTCAAGTCAACGCACACAACGATCATCTTATGTGCGATTGTGAAGAAGCGTCATTATCTCGCGAGCACAACATCAATAAAATTGTTCTTGAATTCAATTTCAAGGTTGTCAAGATAATTTCAATCGGTCATTGCAATTGAAGCAGATGCGCCCGAATGACAAAAATAAAATAAAGTTTGCACGGCACAAAGCAAAGCGAATCGAAGCAAAGTGAATCAAAAGGTTGTACACATTTCGATGCAAAGCATTGATCGCAAAGCGAAGACAAATACCAATTTATCGCTTGACATACGCACTGCGAGAGTGAGAGTTGATCACCGATGCCACAAGTGAAAGCACATCAAACGGTGCGTATATGCAAATTTGATTCAGCGACAGGCCAGGTTGGTTTTTTTTCTATGATTGAGTGTCCAAAAATATCTGCCAAATTTTCATTCAAGCCATTCGAAAGTGATTGAAATCGTTTTTCCCGCCACGCAGAGAGGGAGAGAGAGAGAGAGAGAAAGAGAGAGAGAGAGAGAGAGAGAGAGAGAGAGAGAGAGTCGGCCAAAAATACGATTTGTTTTTTTTTTTATTTCGGTGATCATTGTTCAGCATTAATCGCCGAATTTAGTCAGTTATATTCACCGAAATGATGGCGCAACGCATCAAAAATAGGATTTTGCCTTTCTCTTAAGTACTTATTTGATTTGTGTTGTCAGATATATATAGATATATATAGATATATTGCTACAGTAGGCACATATTCATTGCTTCCTGGCATTATCCAAAATGGATGTACCGAAGAGCAGCAGCAGCATCACATTTGTCGCATCGCATCTTGCCACGCCACGACATTTTCATTTCATTTTGGTGTGGCATATGAAACAGCCGCTGAAAAAAAGGAAAAACACACAAACACACTCACTCATACAGAGAGTCACATAGAGACAGAGAGAATAAAAGGAAGCACAAATTGAGATGATGAGCGACACAACACACATATCTATTTACTTTGTATGTCGCGCAAACATTTAAAATGCAAAGTGAAACTGTGGTGTACAACATTCTTGCTTTGGCTGCATACATCGGACGCCATACACGAGTGAAGATTGCTGCTGCTACTGCTACTACTGGAGGCACACACGGGGAGATAGAGATAGAGTGAGACACTTTAATTTCAGTTTCACTTGAAATGGATAAAAATTGGTAATGATATGTGTGTTGGACGACAACATCTCATCGGCGATGAGAGAGCGAGATAGATCACTTCGATGCTGGGATGATTTGGTGTTTGAAGATCGATCGCGCTCGCGCGTCTTCTCGCCTGACTGGTGGTAACAACTGCATCGATCGTACAAAGTACATTTACCTCATCATCATCATCATCGTCGTCGTCGTTGTTGTCGTTGCTGTTGTTCGACGTCGTCGTCGTAGTTCGAAAAATTCACATGGCGATGACTACGACGAAGGCAATCATTTCTCCATTTACATACCGATTATTTTGAAATCAAGACTCTTCTGATCATAGTTCATTACACGATATTTTCGAGTCGAAAGAAGAAGCGATGTAGAGGATTAGAAGAAAAAAAAATCGCAGTGGACATTAGAAAAAGCAAATTAAAATGAATCGAACGAAAGAAATGTGGAGATAGAGAGAGAGAGAGAGAAGAGAAGAAAAAGAAAACTGCGCGCAGAAAGAAACACAAATGGAGAGTGTAATAACCGCAATTTTCAATGGCAAACATTCGATTAGATCGGCTACGAAACGCAATCATGGACCAAAACGATGAGAGTGACTGAGTAAAAAGAACACAACATTGATGCCAATGATTGTTTTTTTTTGTTTCTTCAACCATTTTTTCGTCGTTTCCAACGGTTTTCCCAATGAACTTTTTGTTGATTTTTTTCTTCGCTTCTGGTGCTGTTGCGGTAGCGTGAATATTCGCGTAATTGGTGAAATGGAACTCTATTTCGTAGCACGAATGCGCGCACACGCACACGCGCACACACAAACACACAGTCAATAACAGTAGTTAGCCAAGTTGATCATTTGAATCTCGTTTTTGTTCGCCGAATTACCGGTTCTATTAAGCGAAGTCCAGTTCCATTTAAACGGACACATTCGTTCGGCTTTGGCCATTGACTTTTGCACAAAAATGTATAGTTTCCGTCGAAATATAGTTATATATAGTTGCGGCTGCTGTTGCTGTCACTGTTTTTTTTTTCTTCTATTGTTCATACATTTTAGCAATGGCTATCAATCAACTGTCGTCCAAGCCCAACGACACAAAATGCATAACTTGTGACCAAAACACATCTGCGACAGTAAAAAAGAAACACACTCTAATAAAAAAAAAACATAACACTCATCCGTGTCAATCGAAGTGCAAAAAGCCGAAGAGAGAGAGAGACAGAGAGAGAGAGAGAGAGAGAGAGAGAGAGAGAGAGAGAGAGAGAGA